AAAGAAAGAAAGAAACAATGTTTCAAGACTGATGGCAGCCGTTCCGTTATCAAGAGAGTGTGCTGTTGAAAAGCAAAACAAACGCAGACTCGTAGGCTGCGCATCTTCACTGGCAGGAGACCGCCTCCTCTTTCTCTCAAGGAGCGGCTGCTGGGTCGGAACCTCCGACCTCGTGGGGAGCAGTCTCCTGCTTACCCAACGGACGGAACGACGGATCAAACAGAACACAGTCCTGACACAAACCCACGTGTCTGGCCCTGCTGAGTTTGAACACAGCCCATTTCAGGTCCAGAGACTCCTTTTTAAAAAGGAGGACGTGAGCAATTGGACAGAGAGCGAAAACATGGGCCTCCCCACGCCCCTCACGCCACACACGAACCGCAGCAGTTAGACCGCATGCCAACTGGATGGTACCTGTGTGGAGGTGACGGTGGAGTCCAACCTCCGTGGTCGCCTGGGGATGCCTCTTAGGGGTGTGGCCTTTTGATAAGAGACAGTGGGGGTGGGGTTTGGACGCTCACTGCCATTGTGCTGGCTCCATTCACAGCAGCCCGAGAGGACAGGGAAGAATGGCCCCCCGTGCGTTTCTGAGACTGTAACTCGTTATGGGAGTAGAAAGCCTTGTCTTTACTCCGCCGAGCAGCTGGTGGGTTTGAACTGCTGACATGTGGTTCACAGCCCAACACATAACCGCTAGGCCACAGGGGCTCTTCCTTGCTGGGTTCTGTGCCTGTCTCCGGGACAGCGCCCTGCGGGGCCACCAACCCTGTGGGGCCACCCTGGGCCCCTGCCTTGTTCCTGGGGACCTAGGCTCCACATGATTCTGCACGCCCACCGGCCTGACCTCCCTGCTTCCCACTCGCCCTCCGTGCAGCTACGTGGGTCTGCACAGGGCCCCGGCTAGCCTCCGACCGTGGGCTTGAGTTGGACCAGGCTGGGACGCTCTCCTGATGTAAAATTACTTCTTGATATACAGGTCTTCCTGACACAGATGTGAGCATCACAAGGTTTGCTTCTCTAGACAAGCCGGCCTGACACACAAACCCGAATTCAAGACCAATCATGGAGTTCGGCGTAAAACAGAAGGCAGGAAAGCACAGGTGGTGCCCGGTCTGTGAAGATTCTGCCCAAAGCATTGCGTCCCTGCATCCTAGCTGTCCCCATTCAGATGGCACAATGTCACAAACAAGAGTGAGAGGCGCCGAGTCCCCGAGTCCCCAGTGTCCAGCTAACCAGCACCACCGCCGGCCCAGCATGCCGGGTCCTCCCTGCTACACAGCTGGGCCACTGTCTCTCGCTCCCTACATGTCCACAAGGCCCCCCCCCCCCACGCTTACCTGTCCAGGGCCGTGCTGGTCGGCATGCTCCTGCCAAACCCGCGGGCGCCCGCCTGGCAGAAGTATGGGATGCAGGCCAGGTTGGCGGCGATGATGGCCAGAGAGTCCGAGGGGCTCACAAAGAAGCCGTTTTGGCCTAGGATCATGTAGCGGTCCTGGGGGGTGAGGGTGGGGGGACAAGCAGGAACAATCAGACAGGGGCAGCTTCCGTGGCATTCCATTCCACCCACCCCTCGCCCCAGCCCCCCACCACCCTAATCTACAGGGGGCAGATGATGCGACGGACAGTGCTCTCAGGTCCTGGACCGTGCTGGGCCTGGGGATATGTGGGTCAGGACTAGAAAGGAGGCCAGAACCTAAACCCCAGAAGAACAAGCCAGCCAGACCCCTTAGAAGAGGGCATGGCTTGACCTGAGCTGGCTCACGCTGCACAGGTCCCCTAGAAAGACGCACGGCCAAGAAAGGAGGACATCAGGACATAAAGCGGCGGCCGGCTCACCTCCTTCAGGTCGATGCCGACTCACGTGTCCTGCCCCCGAGGTTTCTGACACTGTGCTCTTTCCAGGAGGAAGCCCCGTGCTCCTCCCACAGAGCCGTTGGTAATTTAGAACCGCCGACCTTTCGGACCACAGCCCAGTGTGTGGCCACGCCGCCACCAGGGCTCCTTGGTAAAGGCGAGGGACAGCAGGCCCGAGGGAGGCGCTCCAGGAGACGGCGGGACTCACACAGAGCAGTGAGGTGTGGAGATGGAGCGGACCGGGCCTCTGTCCTGAGCCAGTCTGCCTTGAGTCAAAGCGGACAGCCTGAGCCTGCGGACCCGCCCACATCCTTCATTCTGTCTCAGCCCAAAATGGAGGAGCCATGGAGGCGTGGTGGTCACATGCTGGGCTGCCGACTGCAAGGCCAGTGGCCAGAAACCACCAGCCACGCTGTGGGAGGAAGACCAGGCTTTCTCCCACGCTGGCAAAGAGTTACGGTCTCGGAAGCCCACGGTGGCGACTGACCCAATGGCAGGCCAAGTTTGGTTTTTTTGGCTTTCCCCGAAAGCAATGGCGAGCCAGGGCTGCTGTTCAGGCAGCTAGCCTCTTCACGCGAGGCTTCACCACAGCCAGCAGTAGCTGATATCCAATCTGTATGTGATTAAAAAGAAATCACCTCTTTATAGCAGAATGCTCACCGGGATGAACTGAGAGTGCCTGCTATGTCGAGGCAGAGCCAGCAGGCAGCAGCGGCAGCTGCAGGGGACGCCCTGGTGGGTGCCTGGGAATGCCCTGCTCCCAGACGCCCGGTTCACCAAAGGTGAGCAGAAAGAAGGGTTGGGACTCACCCCGTCCGCATCGAACGCAGCCCCGAATCCGTACTCCCCTCCTTTCATGGCTTCCAGGAGGGTGGTCGCGTAGGTCAGGTTTGGGTCAGGGGGCTGGCCTCCGAAGTCCTCCAGGGGGACACAGTTGATGGCGGAATTGGCGGGGGCCCCCAGCTCATCACACAGCACTTTCCTGACGTAGGGACCCATGACTGAAAGAAGGATACAAGGGCACGTGAGACCTCAGCCAAACACCCCCACCCCGAGGGGGTGTCCAGTCAGAATCTGATAGGTCATCTCACAGCACGCCCACCACGGCCCCTTCACCTGCTAGTTCTTGAGTGCCTACCGGCGGCAGGGTACCTAGGAAACGCATCAGCCGAGGCCTCCACACGCAGCCCCGAGAACAGAGGCACTAGCCCGGCCAGCCCTGCTCTGAAAGGGAGACGTTGAAGGGGCGGCGTGGGAGAAAAGAGGGGTAAAACTCGGAATCCTCACAGAGACCAGGCCTGCTGGTTTGAGAGAGACAGACAGGGGGAGCCCCGGGGGACAGTGAGTGGCCCTGGGCCACCCTTCGGGTCTAGAAAAGAATTCCCTTCTGTGAGTCCTTTTTCAGCCAAGCACCCGGCAGCTCTGTAAGCAGAGCAACCGCACTAAGGAGGTTCGCATAGTCCAGATCATCAACCGTGTGAGACCCCAAGGGCAGCACTGGCCCAAAGAGAAGACCCCGCGTGGGGGGGAGGGGGCACGGAGGAGTCAGGGGCGTCCTGGCCAACGGACACTCAGCAGGACCTGGGTCAGGCTGATGATGGGCAATTGACGGTAACGACTTCACAATTCAACAATTCGCAATAGGAAGCCAAGCGTGAGCTGCTCTCTACAGACCCACAATCCTCACAGTCACCAGTTCCCACCCGCCTGCTTCCCCATAAAAAGTTTAAAAAGAAATAAAAAGGTGGCTTTGGAAGTTCAAGACCCCATGCGCTTCTGACACAGGGACCGTGACCTATCCTCCACCACTGCCTTTCTAAAACCCAGAGGGGCCGGTGGGGCCACAGCCGGAGCACTCACTGGGCCGCTACCACAAGGCTGGCTGTTCAAACCCAGCCTCTGACTCCACAGGAGAACGATCTGCCAACCTGATCCCATCACCCCTTGGGGCGGTTCTGCTCCATCCTCCTTCCTGGGGGTGGAGGTGGGGTGTCCCTGTGAGCTAAAATGGACTAAATGACAATATCAATAATCCCCTTCCATGAGCTCTTTCTCCCCCAAACTCCTTCAAAAATGGTCCGAAGGAAACCAGCCCCTTGGTCATGAATGATTCCCTGCCTGGCGTGCATTGGTCCGCTCGGCTTTTTCATGGATGAAAAGCTCTCTCGGACTCTAAGCAGAAAAGCATGAAGAGGCTGCACAGGAGGCTGGGTCGCCCAGGCGGTCTCGTGAGGCGCTGCTGGGAGCCAGCTGGAAGTCTGAGAGCAAGCGCGGTCCCCGGGAGGAAGGACGGCAGGATCTGTCCCCCAGATCTGCGCAGAGTCTCAAAGGGCCCCTAGGGACACTTCTCTGCACAGGCTTCGGGACCATCTGGAGTCCCTTGCCTGACAGGGACCCTTAGAGTCTGGCGGCCGGCCGAGTCCCACCCACGGCGAGTGGCTGCCAAGGTAAGACCCAAAGGAAGGTGCCACTCAATCCAGGAACCACGTGGGCGTGCAAGCAGTGCACGTGTCCAGCAGCTTCCCGGGAAGTTGGCAGTTCCAGTCCACCCAGGGGTGCAGTTCAAAACCACCAGCCGCTCTAAGGTAGACACACAAGACCTGTAAAGAGTGACAGTCTCGGAAACCCACAGGGCGGGTCTACCCTGTCCTGCAGGGTCTCTGTGGGTCAGCACCGACTCCGTGGCAGTAAGTTCTTATAACTTACTCCTGCAACTGGAAACAGCCCTGACTTCCAGCAACAGGTGAGTGGGGTACATCCGGCCACGCAAGAACAAACAGCAATAAAAGGAACAAGCCCAGAGACACACAGCACCAGGACCATGGATGGATCTCAGAAAAAAAGCCTGACGCCCTGAAGCCGTGGGCAGTGTGGCTCCGTTCGTAGGACCTTCCAGAAGATGCCAAGCTCTGGGGGATGTTGAGAAAGGGAATTAAGGATGGGTTTTTGCTGTTGTTCATACAGACGTTGAGGTATTTCACGGTTTAAACGACAGGCTCCTTAAGCTATTGTGTTTCGGGAAAATCAAAAGGACCACATTTTACTTCACCCTCCTCCACAGTCAGCACGGCTGGGACTCCTCTGTGCAGCCTAATTAACTGCTGTCATGAACATCAGGAAGGAGGGGCCAGGGGGAGGGGGCAGCATGGGGCGGGGACGTTCGTGTTAAAGATGATGGAAACGTGGGAATCTGGCGGGGCTGACAGATGGCGCGCAGGCAGAGTGC